ACCCTACCATCCCCCAGCCCCTGAAAACCAAAATTTCTTTCTGTTTCTATGAAAAGAAATGTTCTCAATGTTTCATCTGAATGACATCATACAACATGAGCCTTTGATGTCTGCTTTCTTTTATGCAACGTATTGTTTTCAAGGCTTATCCACTGTCATTCCTTTTCATGGCCAAATAATACTACACTCATGGATATACAAAACTTTGCTAATCCATTCATCAGTTAATGAACACTTTTGTCATTTCCCCTTTTTGAATATTATGAACAATGCTATTATGAACATTTCTGTACAAGTTTGAGTGTATTTTTTATTCTTCTGGGTACATGCATGCTTAGTAGTGGAGATGCTGACATGGTAAATCTATGTTTAACCCTTTGGGTAACTGTCAGATAGCTCCTTACAAGATTTTAGTTTCAACCATGCGGTGCCATCACAACAGGGAGGAGACCTCTCCCAGATGTAGTTGTAGTGAATACATCTGGCTGCTTCAGTATTTACATCAAAATGCTCCAGGTAACCGTAGCATCTTGGGCACCAACCTTTACCAACCTTTGTCAAGTGGCCAGGCCACACAACTGGCTGATAAATTAGGTTCCTGGTAACTATTCCTGTAATTTCTGGAACTTGAAAATTAGCTCCTCCCTCAGCCTCTTTAATAAGCCTGAACACCTGGAGTCATGACGCCACCACCCTCCTGGCTTCATAGTTCACCAGTGTTTGGAAACCTCTGTCACTGCCTGTGCTACAGCCATGGACTGAATCTTCTTCTCTAAGAAGTGGAACCCTCCTCCTCATGCTCCCTGCTGGCCTGGACCTCAGCCTTTATGTCCAAGGCCCATGCTGCTGCTGGTCATGATCCCCCGGCACAATCCAGCTCATTCAAGGAAGAATCTAAATTGTTATTAATTGTTTTGGTTTTTTTAATTTATTTATTTTTTATTATTAAGGTATTACAAATGTGTCCTCATCCCCCCCATTAACCCCCAACCAATTGTTATTAATTGTTGATGAAAAACAGAAAAAATACCTACAAGGCTCTCTCCTTTATGTCTTTCCCATACAGGTTGTATTTGGCGGCAATGTAGTTGAGAATGGCTCTGGTCTGTGCCAGCTTCATCCCATCGATTTCCACCATGGGCACTTGCTGGAACATCAAAGACCCATCTTTTGAAAAAAGAAAAGAAAAAGTAGAGTGAAATGTCTTCACACCCATAGAATGAAAAGATGTGTGTTGAAATGACTAAAGATATGAATGGAAGCAGAAAATTATGGCCTGGTAACATTTTAATAGAAATAGTATTGGGTTTCCGCTTCCTGTAACCTTTTTCTTCACAATCTGCCTTTTATTTTTTTAACTTATTATTTCACTTATCTTTTTACACGTCCCATCCAGATACATAGTAGGTGCCTGTGTTTTTTAGTTGACTTATCTTCATGGATCATTTAGGAAGAAGTTGGAGAGAGGCTGCCAAGGGCCACCAGCCAGATGCCATTTCCAATCGGGAGTTCCCAAAGTAAGTCTTGTGGGGTTCGTGGCATTAAGGCGAATTCTAAGTGAGATTTCTATGTAGCTGCTCTGTGTGCTCTTCAAACTCCAGCACTGGTCAGTGGGTGCAGGCAGGCCCTGCTTTCCAGACTCCAGTGCTGCTGGCTCTTTCTCTTTATCTTCCTGTTCATACTGTCAAGTGGCCTTCCAACTAATTCAATACCAACTTGTTATCTGAGTCTGTAACACTACTGGGATATTACCTTGTCAAACCTGCCCGAGTCTTGTCGAACCTGCCAGATCAAAGGCAACTGCTGGGCTTATTTCTACTCTCTTCACCCTGATGAATGTGTTTGAGTGTTGGTGGATAGCTGGGGTCCTGAGCAGACACATCTTCACTTATGGTGGGTGCAGAAAGGCAGGGGAAGAAAAGAGGGGGCATTCCAGCTCACAGCGGATGGTTGCTTGGCAAATACTCTGAGAGTTCAAGCCCTTCATATCCTAAGTGAGTGATGAGACCTGCTCAAGGACCCCCATCCTTACACT